AGGAATTATAACTACAACAGGAATACAGTAGTAATAAAAATAATAGAGTAAATATAATAGGAATAAAAATAACAACAGGAATAATAATAAAAGAAACAATTACCCTATGGTCATGTGGGTTACCTACCTCATAGGAAAAATTTGTCACAGACAGACAGACATGAATGGGTCCATAAGGTAGTCCTTTAATCATGCTAAAGTGTGAAGAACACCTGTCTCTTTCCTTTGGGTTTTCTGACCAACATCTTATGTTTCTTATATCTCCTGTGTGTGCAACATGTCCATCCATCCTATACTCCTAACAGTTAGCAGTAACGTTCAGACAGAACAGAAAAAGGTCACATTAAAAAAATATTAAATACCCTCCAAGAGGGAAAACAAATGTAAGAAGACCAGAAAGTAAGAGGCCAGTGAAAATTGCAATGGGGTCATAATGGGTCCATCAGCTCTTGCCTCAAAGATGATGAAGAAGATATAACTTGAAAGCCTGAGAGTTGGATGGAACAGTCTTGTCAAAATTTTATGTACTGTCTCATAACTGAATTCATATGCACTCTTGAAATGTGATTTAGCTGCTGAACTCTGTCCTAGCTCATGAACTCAACAGAAGCAATATTATTTACAGGATGACATTTTGTTTCAGAAAATCCAGCTGTGTTTGCTGTAACAACTGACAGCTTGCTGTGCACACTCATACATAAATCATCCCAAACAACATGCAGCATGCTCCACATTTGTTGTACAATATGGTCAAAAATTCTATGGAGCTAGATGCCACAGCCAAAAATTAAGAGCCATAACAGAAACAACTAAAAATTATGAATATATTACTAATTTTAATTTTTTGGACTTTTTTCAATTGTCATTATGCTTCCAAAAAACCACTTCGTTTCAGGATATGGCTCTTCCCTCCTCAGAAGCTAATCTCAGTCTTTGGATCCTCCTTGTAACAGGCCTGACTATAGGTTCACCTGAGGATGAGGGAAGAGCCACCTCATGAAACATAGTGGTTTTCGTGGAAGCATAATTATTGAAAAAATCCAAAAAATTGAAAATAGTAATTCAACCCCATCATCAGTAACATTTATAGATGAATTATAAATACATTAGTTCTAGCACACAGTTATAAATTACACATATTCTTACAGAAATTTTACACAAAATATATGTGTGGCCTAATCAAAAGTACTGAGACTAAACCCATGAAAACTAAGATACTATACTTACAGGAATGGGATGTTAATCCCTTTGAAAGCAGGCTCATTTCAGCACTTACATACTTGTTACACTGTTGCTGCCTGTGCTGGAAGCACCCCTCAAACCCAGTTATTAGAATCACAAACATTTTCTCCATTGTAGGGTGTTAAATTCTTGCCACATTATCAAATATTTGGCCTTCTGTGATACTTTTATGGTTAGCAAACATGAAACATCACAGGGAACCAACCATATTTGGTAAACAGTGAAGCTATCTTACTTGTGGAATACTGAGTTTAGCTACACAATCATGCACAAGTTGGAGCGAATGGATAAACAGGTGCAATGCATGATTACAACACAATTCCTGAATAGAACAACTGGCATCTTTGGTTCTACTGCATGCATGACTTCCTCAGTCAGAGCAAAACAGGGAATTTCAATCGTGATGATTATAACTTTGTTTCAGTGTTAGAACCATAAACTTATGTTTTATCATGTTACGTTATTTGTAAAATGTTTTCTTCAGTTTCTGCACTCTCAAGTACATCGGAAACCATTTAATTTATGAATGTGTGTCAGTAATTATGGAATGAACCAGATTGTGACATGGCCTATTCCATACACAGTTTGACATGAACCACAAGGAATTTCTACCTCTTTGGCCATTTCATGTATAGTCAGTCATTATTCAGTCATTTTGCACTAACTCATACACTTAAACTACCAGTTCATCATTTCTACTATCTGAAGGGCTTAGAAGCATGAAGCACAGAGGGTTTTTCCAAGAAGGGCAGCTAGAAAATGAGCTTTTGGAATATTTCCTTTGTTTTATAAATCTCTTCAATTTTGAGTTTTTTCCAAAAATCCAGGGGGCAAATGCCTGGCGTGCCTCCCCTTGCCAGTGTCTATGCTTCCAGGATGATTATTACTTTAGTGAACACTCATCCCTCCTTAAAACAATTAAACCACTAAAATACTAAGGTTCAGTTCACTGTTGCATCTCCAAATGCTTCTTGCACCAATCAATAAGTTTTGGTCACTGTCTCTCTGCTCTTCTCACAAAATTTAATGCACACACACACTGTTCTGGACTCCCAACCATTAAATTGAAACTCAAGACTTTTTAAACACTGACTAAAATAACTTAAGCAAAGTAAAGAGCTCAAAACATGCCTGAAAATGCAGTACATATCGAGACAGTAAACACAGCTGTATTCCTGGCAGTATAGTTTCTCTGAGATATGAATCCAGTCTCAATATACTACTACTACAAGTACTATTTATCAGAACAGTGTTGTACACTTTTCATGATTATCATATTTTGGAATTTCATAATAAATATTTATTTCTCTTCTTAGTGTAAATGAGTTACCACAGATATACCGGGTCTACAATTTATGAGTCTTGGGGCGTGCTTTCATTGCGTGGTCAGCCAGCGCTCTGTTGACGTGGGCGGGAGTTGTGCACGTTCTTCCCATGAGACACAGGCGAATCAGTTTCATTGCGTCTCTCGTAGCGGATTGATGTTGATAATATGGTGTATAGTATCAAGCAATGTGTGTTCTTAGTCTAAATATATCCCAAATATTCATCCTACAGAAGATGCTGCCATAAATTTAGCAGACATTTTCCTGGTGTAAGTGTTCCTAGCAGGTCTATGATAGAGAGATTAGTAAAAAAATTTCGTAGTACGAGATCAGTTTTGGATAAAAAGAAGAACAGGAAACGGAGTGTATTGACGGAAGAGAAATTGGATGAAATTGTGGCTTTCTTAGAAAAAAGTCCAAGGAAATCTTTGGAACGTTTAGCTGCACAATCTGGTGTGTCATTGGGATCTGCTCACACAGCAACGAGACTTCTGAAATTGCGACCATATAAGACCACTGTTGTTCAGAGACTCACAAATCCTGACACTGGTGCTAGGATTCGTTTCTGCAATTGGTTGTTACGATCTGTGCATGATGGGATTGTTAATCCAGAGCTATTGTTTTTTTAGTGATGAAGCATGGCTGCATTTAAGTGGATATGTCAACACTCAGAACAATCGCTACTACAGTTCCGAAAATCCACATCAGTTGCATTAACATCCTCTTCATGACATTAAGGTTGGAGTCTGGTGTGCAGTTACCTCCAAGAGTATAATAGGGCCAATATTTTATAATGAAACCATAAATTGTGAACGTTATGTAAATTTATTACTTAGACCCTTTTTCCAAGAAATGACCGATGAAGAAAAGACTTACGGTTTCTTCATGCAAGACAATGCTACAGCTCACACAGCTAATCGGTCGATGTTAGTATTAAGAGAAGTGTTTGGTGAACAAGTAATCAATCAGTTGCCTCCGCATTCCCCAGACTTGAACCCATGCGATTTTTACCTGTGGAGCATGCTGAAGAACAAAGTTTATGTAAACAATCTGCACAATGCAGAAAAACTTAAAGAAAATATTCGACAATTCATTTCGGCAATATCTCAAGAAGAGCTTCGTCGAGTATTTCGAAACATGTTAACGAGATGTGAAGCTTGCCTGCAAGCACAAGGAAGTCACTTTGAACATCTTTTGTGATTTAAGGTAAGAACAATTAATGTAATAACAAGTATCAGTGACAAGAAATATTCATAGTTCGCTGTTACTAGCGGCACTGAAACTGATTCGCCAGTCACCCACCGGAAGAATGTGCACAACTCCCGCCCACGTGAACAGAGCGCCGGCCGACCACGCAATGAAAGCACACCCCAAGACTCATAAATTGTAGACCCGGTTCATTGATAAAAAGAGTTAAGTAAGACTTTATGTTCCCATGGCAGCAAGTATGATGGCTGTCTTATGCGTCATTGTACCATGTGGTCTGGTAGTTTTTTATTGACATTTCAGAGGTGCTCACTGCCTCCACCAATAGGGCAATAATGGCGACAGCAAGCACCTCTGAATGTTGGTAAACTGCTAGCAGCCCAAATAGTACAACAACTCAGAAGACGGCCATCTTAAGCAAAAGTAGCAGTTTACATTTATCTTTAAAAATTTGTCCTGGACATTGTTAAGTCTTTCCATGTTATGCATGTGATTATCCTGCTAACACCTATTTGCCCTTATGAACAGAATTTCTTTTGTTTGAAAAATTCAACCGTGTTATGTCTCAGCTTTTGATGCACAAATTAAATGCACTTCTAGAGAATATGTTGCACCACATTATGAAAACGTAAACTGCTTCTTGCATCCTCTATAACGTTGATATTTGAATGCAGACACAAAATCTATGCATGCATAAAATAGGGTTACTCTGGACTGATGCAAACTAAAATTAAATTTGCCTGGTATCAATCCCCTGTAGCAAATTTAATAAAATATGTTTCAGTAGCTTTAGAAATGAAACGTGTATGGAAAATATGTTCAACTTAGGCACTTAGTGCAAAGAACACATAAAAACAATAAAAGATTTAAAGACAGTCTTTTTATGCCGTAACATAAAGATATGTCGCCCTCGGTAGACTAGTGGTTAGCGTGCTTGCCACTGGACCAAGCGGTTCACAAGTTCAAACTTGACCGAGGTTGAAGGATTTTTAAGGGTGATAAAAATACATAGCACAACTTCCTTCGGAGGAGAAGTAAAGCCAGCGGTCTCATGTCATAGATTTACGGCATGTAGAAGAAACTTACGAGCATAAACGAGATGTTTTGAAAGCAAAATTCAGCGGCTATTTCTCACCCAAGTCTCTCCTGATTCACTACTAGATGGCTCTGGCAGTCAAATCAGGATTGAGTAGAAACTGTGCACAGTCAGTGGGCTGGTCACTCACTACTCACAAATGCACACTTCAAAGACTAGGAAACCTCCGAATAGGAGGTGGTGAAAACCCACAAATGGGTTGTAGAGCCAAGGAACAACATTAAGATATAAATCTATGAGACTCCATACACTTACAATGTGATAAAATTATTTTCTACCCTCTTGTATTTTGACCACAAGGTAGTTGCCCCAGTATTCTCATCCTTTTCCTTCCTTTGCTTTGTAGGCTATTAATAATGCTGTATAAACTGCACAGTATATTTTTAAGTTTGATTTAAATATGAAATTATGCACAGTGAAACACAAGGACTTGGAAGGAAACACATGCAGCCTACTTAAAGACTGAGACTATGCTGAGATGCAAATCACGTACCACCTAGGCATAAACTGTTTGTTCATGGCATCCACACTTGGTTTCAAAGTTAACATTACAAAACAAAACACCACAAAAACAATGTCATTATGTCAACATCTGAACAAACATAATGCTTCTTGATGCCAAAACCTCAGCAAACAAAACAACTCCAGATGCACCAGCATGTGACAAACTGTTTGGCAAATTGAAATGCTTTGTAGTACAGCCAGTATCCTACAAATAAACTAAATTTAGCGACAGGTTAGAATAGAAGAGAATTTATTTACATTCCATAGATCCTTCATAAGCCTAAGCCAAGGATGTAGAACAGGTCACAGCACAAATGCAATACTCGTTTCTAGTACAAATACATAGTTATAACAGCTATTTACAGATTTTTGGAACTACAGTATTACAGCAAAATAATTATGATGAGAAACCATCACCATTATTACTTACATGTATTTATAAATTCTTCTACTGAGTAGACTGGATATCACGTTATAATATATTACACTGGAGCTAGTACCCTAAAATAACATCGATTTCAGTCACAGGTAAGAAGGATTAGTTTATTTATTGTAAATTAACCTCAAATTCTGCATGTGGTGACCGTATCGTTAAGCTCTTCCTTTCAAATGAACGTTAAATGGGTCTTCATAACGCACTGGGAATCAAATTTTAAAATATTAAAAAGTTTGTGTTCTTCCTATAAAGATGTACAATGCATACACGCTGCCACGTCTGGTTCATTATTTCCGTACTACTTGAACTTACCTTGTGGAAACTTTCAATATGGCGTCTCCTTCGTCTACTTGTTCCTTTTCTTTGGTGACTTTTAATTCTTTTTCGTCTTTTGGGCCCTTATGCTGAGTTATCCTCATTCCGCCCGCTTTCACTGGTTATAAAACACATTAAAACTGCGTCAACCACAATTATAAATACGAAACACATGTTACACCGTCTGAATTATTTGAAAGTCGGTTTCTATTACGATGTAAAATAAATATTTACCTGCAGGTGGATGACCGCCTTTCAGTTCACTTTCTTCTACTGAGGACATTATACTTCTGTATATTCAATTAAGCATAGAAAACTCATTCATCCAAACAAGACAAGTGTTATAATGAGTATGTATCGTAACACTTTCTGCATAAGCACAGTACACTACTTCTTACACAACTGCTGCGCTGGCGTCACACACTACCATTGACGTTGAGATATTTCATGGCCACCAATCACTGAACAACAATAAGCCAATCAGATGAGTAGTAAAACTGGTAGAGAAAACAAGTTGTTTCCTACAACCAAAGATAATAAAAATAACTACAACGGGTCATATATACTGAAGGGGAGACGGGAGGAACTCTTCTTCGCTAAAAGAACTACCACAAGCAAGCAAAATGGGCTTCTTCACCACTTTCGTCAAAAAACTGATAATCCGTTTTTCTCTCTTAGGGAAATAAAGTAGGCATATGAGGTCATCATGCTATCAGTGTGTCCACTCCCTTTCAACTTTCAAACCAGATGCCTGATTTTCATTGAACTCTTGGTAGGAACATTATACTGCTGGAGGCCACCAATCTCATCCTCCTTGATTTGATAATCCCAAACAATATTTGATGAACACGTGCACTTGATACAGCATTATTAGGTCACCTGAGAATCAGTTATAAGAATATGAAGATTGCTGTCTTCTGGGTTGTTACACCGTGTAGTCTGGTAGATGTCCACCGTTCCAGATGTCAGTGGACATCTGCCAGACTTCACAGCACAACCCAGAAGACAGCAATATTCAGACTCACCTCTGTGAAAACCTCCAATACTACAATTATAAGAACATCTTTCACAAAACGTTTCACCAGTCTTTATAAGGGTAAGAAATTTTTCTCATGTCTAAGCACCATACTGTGAAGGTTTATAGAACCAGTGCCTACTAACTCCATGTAGCAGAGTCCATCTTGAGAAATTCCCTGCCTTTAAAGGAACTTGAAGGTTCATTACCATGTTCACAACTGCCCACCAAGCACATTTTTGTTACTCACTAGCTTCTTTGGTATACCAAATTCAATGAGAATATTGTCAGTCATACGCTTTTTTGAAATCTATAAACAATTGACGTATTCCCATTTTTTCTTTAGTATCTGACAAATGCAGATCTCATGAAAGGTTGATCTGTTACGTCTGAACCCACACTGATGATCCCCAGTAATTTCATTCACATATGGAGTTAATCTCGCCAGAAGAATGTTTGATAGAAATTTGTACGTGGTTGATAGCAGAGATATTCCTCAGCAATTACCACACTCAGTCTTGTCCCCCTTCTTATGAGTAGGAATAATTATGGATTCCTTCCATAGATGAGGCATCTCTTCCTTATCTTAAATTAACTGAATAAACTTATGGATCTTCATATGCAACTTTTTGCCACCTGCTTTAATTAATTCTGCTAAAATTTGATCAATTGATTTATAACTTTTGAAATTTTCAATTGCTAGTTCAACTTTATCTAAACTCGGTTCTGGCACTAAGACTTTAGCCATATGTATTTTAATCTGTGTAACATCATCAGTCCCATCAACATTTAAGAGGTGATTAAAGAAATTTTTCCACCTATTCAAAATTTTTATTGGATCTGCAAGTAAATTGCCATTATCATCCTTCACCAAATTAGTCTGAGGTTGATATTCTTTCTTAAAATCATTTATGCCTCTGTACAGATCTCTGATATTTTTGTCCTTACTGTTTGTTTCAAGCTCAATAATTTTGCCTTTTAGACATTCCCTTTTCTTACTAGCTTCACATCTCACAGATGTTAAAACAGAAAATGGCTGGAACGGTAGTACTAACATACCAATTTAGAGGAAACGAAATAAAATCCATTAATATAAATTTCTGTTTACAAGGTTAAAAATACATCTGGCCTCAGATAAGCAGACAACCTTATTTTTCAAGTCCAACACATGACAGTGTGAGATGCTGAAGGTACCAAATTTTCTATGTCTACACCTGTGTTAACATGTTCTAATACAAGACACCAGAGAATCATCATAACTTCATATATGCAAAATACTGTCAAACATTACCAACACAATTGGTTTAATGAACTCTTTTTGGCTTACCAGCTGTGTAAGGTGGTTTAATGAAGGAAACACAGATTCAAGAACCTCATCCTTGTCCTCAGGGTACCCTGAGGATGAGGATGAAGATAGCTGGTAGCCTGAAAAGAATTCATTATACTTAGTCACAATGAAAGCTTCAGATCATACAATTGGTTTAACCTTTTATAGCGTGAGTACATTAGACAGTTTCAGAAAAGGAGGTGACAGTATGCTCTTTGCTGAACCATCGATTGAAATCCAGTCTGAGCAGCAGCTGTGATAGATGAGAGCCACACAGATGTAAGCTCAAATCTGACAGTAACTGCAAGAGGTACATCACCAAGTTCTCATATTCTTGCACCATATTGTGTAGTTCAAGAAGTTGAGGTTCATTTAAATCATTTCCCCACATACAAACACTGGTGCAAAACCTTCTACACAAGTCAAGGACTTTAGTCAGGATTGATTGTACTGGATTTGTCTTCATTTCAGATCCACTGCATATCTAAAACAAGCAAAAGAGAACATGTTAATTCACACGACAACTGATTCATATCCATAAGACATCTATAAACCAAAACAAAGCACATTATTTCACCTGATGGCTGATTCAGCTTCACTAAATATCTACAAACTGAAAGAGTATATTATATAATATGGCAGTGAAGATCCACTAACAATGGAACCTTCAGGATTATCACACTCCTAAAATTGTATATTAACAGAAACGGTAGAGTGTCAATGCCTAATACAGCCAGAAAGTTAGAGGAGGTTCGACTGTCATACGCAAGACCAGAGTTTAATTGGAGAGTAACAGTCAACCAGGTGCCCGTTATTAGGACATCTGGAAACTAAACAAATTATGAAATGTGCACATAGCATAACAATTCCAATGCCTTTGCCAGAATGCCAGTAACATGAGGATGTAGTCATGTGGCTCAATAACTTTTGCACACACTAGGTGTCTGGCACCTGTCTCGCTGGGTGATGATAGATTTTCCACATGCTTGCATGGTTGGCCAGAGGCACCCTACACAAGGATTCCTAATCCAGTAACTTACACACACAAAGAACAGTAGGTCTTCAAGTCAAATACCCATTAGTGATGTCTGATCTTATACAAAATTGTGATTACAAATTTTAGTAAACTCATGTAAATCCATTCAGCAGTTTGTTCTCACATTGTTACATGTGCAAAGACAGACATGGAAAAGGCAATTACACATATTTTTGCAACTTTAAGCTGCAAATGCTCCTAAATAATTGAGGTCAGTCCTAACCATTATTGTTGAAGAATAAAGGATTTAAATTACCATGCTACAGGGCTGCTGGCTGGAATTTAACTCCAGGGCTTAATGATTTAGCAGTATAATAATGTTACATATGGCCAGCTGGATCACATGTGAGCCATAACACAGGGATGATAAAGATTAAATAAACTAACCGTCACCATTAACCATTCTGTTGTATTTTTAATAACTGAAATGTTAAATGACACTTTAGCTTGCCTGAGAAAGGTATTTTTATGCTATATATTTTCTTGTACTGCATGAGTGACTTGTGGGTCTGGTTTTGTAATTTTCTTTGTTATAACATACATCAGTTGTAAGAAGATAAAATGTGGGGTGATTCACTACAATACCTGTACAGTAGAATCCCCAGTGTAACAGTACTGCTAATCTTTTATCATCACTTATTTTAGATTATAAAATTATTAAAAAATACATTTCCTCCTAGTGAGTTCAAGCAGTTAATTTTTCAAAGTATTTGATTAAAAATAAAATAAAGAAAAGCTGTAACCTGAAGCTACGGTAGTTAACCTGAACATTCAGTCCAAAATTATAGAGAATGCAAAGTTGTGTACAAGAGAGAAGTGTTGTTAATCACTAACAGAAAATAACTGCTGGCTTACCTTGTCAGCAAGAAGAAATGTTTGACTCAATATATTTGCTTGAAAAAGTGTGTGCGCTTTCTGTATTTGATCAAAATCTTTTGTTGCTTGAACTGCAGAGAGAAGCATTGTGTACTGACTCTCCAAGACATCAACTTGAAGGTAATACTGCAAATTGTCGACCAGAAACATCAACCTGCTCCGCAGGTGCCACACAGCTGGTTCGCTCTCATATACACTGTAGGCAGACATGTCAACCAAATTTAGATAACACGTGTGCTAATTAGGTAGTGAGTGACATTTCCTATACATTTGATGTAATGGTTTCGCTGTCACTGGCTGTTTCTTATGACCTTGCAGCTCAAAAGTCAATAACAAACAAAGAATGTGGCTGCAGGTCTGGAAAAGGTTGAAAACCTTTGATTTGGGCATTTAAATAAAGTGGGTGATTGTATCAGGATGCAGTGGATTTAAATGATAAAGGGTTTAGATACCTATCCTTTCCCTTACTCTCTCCTGCTATACATAAACAAAGAACTCGATAAAATATTTACCACCGTGTCTTGCACTCCATTTGACTCCTCCAGATACTGTGAAGATCAAGCTGAGTTTTCTTAACATACAGAAGAAAGCGAAACAGCTTATTATAGTTCTCTAGTACTACACTGTCGAACAGGAGATGTAGAGGCCAACTGACTTTATACGTTAGTGTCAGCAAATGCCAGCAGGTCCCTGATTACAGAAAAAACAGACATTTAAGTGACAGCTGGCAGAAATATTAGTCTTAATCACTGTCAACATTTGTGCAAGCATGTGACAAGGATATACAAAAACAACATATTAGTTCATGGAAATACCAGCTTTACTGCCTGGCTTTAAATGGTATTATTTCTCTGATGTTTCTCAAATAAATGTAATATAACAAAGTGACATTCCTTCAGCACTTAACTACTGTCTGTATTTACTTGATACAAAATGATTTTAATTCCACATAACAATGCTTTATGTAGCAGTGTTTCTAAAATACTTAACAATTGTGAACATGAGCATGAGTATGAGAATAGAAAAACGTGGTCTTGAAGCTCACATGTCAATACAGACCATGTTACCTACATGATATTCACATACCTTTAACTTCATCCAATTCAGTGTGGCCTTTACCTGGCAACACAAAACTGAACTTGTCTATCGTATCATCATTAATGAGTATTTTACGAGCAGCAATGTGGAAGGCCTTGTTTACATCTGCAAGCATAAAAATGAGTTAACTGCTCTTCATAAAATATAGTTTAGCCTGTGAAAGTGACAGTGAATGCAGATCATAATCTGCGATTACTCTACAGAGGCCCATTTAAATTCTGGACATTATGACTACCTTAACACTTTAAGGCCCAGTGGTAACTACATGTACCATCTACTTTAACCTTTAAACGACGGGGATTTAAATGGAATAGTGGTAGCAGAGGTCCCCTCCAGGAACGTTCGTAGGACTGACTACACAACTTACGTTCCCAGGCTGAGAACGCTAGTAAGATAAAGGTTAACAATTAGTAATTCTGCATTTTGTCCACACATTGTATTTATGGGTTTCATGTTCTCAGAATGAATACCAGTATTTCCCTAAATAGCATTAACCAGTTGATCTTTGCAGTGGAGACACACTGCTTTTTTTAAAGTAAGATTTAAATTTTTAAATATTATTTGGACAAGTTCCAGCTTCATAGAACAAAGTGAATAAAACTTTGACATATTAATTCATTATGTCTACTTACAATACCTATATAAAAGTCAGATTTAATAATAAAGGCCTCAAATCTGTTGCCCACTAAGTAAGCAATTTCATCATCTGACAGAATTTTACAGCAATAAAAGTCATTAATGTTATCTGCATGGTTAGACACACCATAGCTGTCAAAAACAGGCCAATCTGTTAATGACAGTAATATGCAGCAGTTTTAAGAATATTTTGCTGGAACTGTAACAAAAACAAATAAAAAAATTTAAACAATCAGACAATTTTGAAAATAATACATTTTAAATCACTTTGTACAAAAGTAATATCCATTCTGTAACAAGATCAGGGGAAGCAGAATGTATGTCTCAACTTCCTGAGGCATGTATTCCCCTTCACTTCATGTACAGTTTTAGTTTCAAGGACAGAAATACAATGCACCAACAGAAGTGCAACTTTTGACAAGACTGCTAGCATGTATAAACTATTTTCCATATATACCAGCACATACTCTCTGAAAGAAAGCATTGGGAATAACAAATACACAAAATCAGTAAGATTTGTAGTAATGGTGAGATGGTAATGTTGTTAAAGGGTGTTGTTTGAAAAGATGGCCCTTCTTATATGATTAAAAGAAGCAATAACTGCTGCAGAACTATATAATATTGTAATTCTTAGGGATATAGCAAATGAAGACTAAAAATACAAAGCTTGTAAACATCCTGGATTTAAAATGTGAGGTTATGTTTTAGTAACAGTAATGCCAAGCTTGTGACTATTTACAGTGCAAATGTAAACAGTACTAAATGTGCCCTGAGCACTGCACTGCAGTGCAGTCTTCATATAATTCAGGTACATATGTCTTAAAAGGTAACTGGTCCTTAAGTATTAATTAAGCAAACATTTACATGTACTGATTCTGTAAAAATGACTTCAACCCATATTACACATTAGTTTCAACATCCTGTCTCACCTCTAGTAGAAGAACTGATTGGTGGATTTTGCATAATACGTCCAGCTTGGTGTATGAATTCCAAGAACAGCTCTCCTCGACCCAGCAAAAAAATATCTTTCATAAGTTTCAGCTGCAAAAACAATTCAGCTTCTTCCACAGCGAGTTTCCACAGATGCTGTTCAAGAAATGCATAAACAGACATCAGATTATAACTTATTTTCAATTACACAACCCCATGTAAATCTGTCTGGAATCTTTTATTACATTTATAACATTCTTGCTACTGGTTTCTACTAATTTGCATTATGGTACATGGGGATGGCATATTTCTGGAGGTCTGCATACTAACTAACTCCATGGAGTAGAGTCCTTTAGAAAATGGTAATTGCTTGGCTAATTAAAAAATTTCCTGACTTTTATGGAATGCAAAGGGCCACCAACATACACTATTCTAAGCAATGCAGATGCACACCCTTGTTCTTTAAAATCCATTTAAACACATTAGCCTTATGTCACGGTCAAGTAATTAGCACTCTGGGTTTATATGCAGGTTGTGTTCAAATTTCAGTCCAAAGAACAGCTATCCAGACAACTTTTATGATTTCCCTTAGTTCCTCTAGGCAAATGCAAAAATAGTACCTTAAAATTAGGCCATTACTCTTTCCATATATACATACACACACATATACACATACAATCAAAGGAACTAAAAAAAGGTAAAATAAAAGCTGTCCCACTATACACCATTTAAGCAAGTGGGGGAGAGCTCCTACTCATTCTCAAACTTGGTACTAGATGGGAGTGAGTGGTCAGCGTCACACCCCGACTGCACTTCACCCTGGGAAAGGCCCCCTGTACCCATTGGATAAGAGGCTGGGTGGGTCCCAGAGGCAGTCTGGATTCAAAGGCTAGAGGCAAAATCCTCTGTCCCCATTGGGGGTCGAACCTCAGTCGTCCAGTCACTATATTGGCTGAGCTACACCGGCTCACGTAAAAGAAACTGAAAGTGTCATCAAACAACACAGAATAATAATAATAATAATAATACATGGAGAACTTCCATTTCTCACTATGAAATTTTCTCAAGAGTCCCGTTACTTCTTCTGTGTTAGGTCCCAATATTCTTCTCAGCACCCAGTTCTCAAACACCCTGAATCTATGTTCTTTCATTAAGATGAAAGACCAAATTTCACACCCAAATAAACAAGAGGTAAAACCTTGGTTATTACAAAATCAAAATAATATGGACAGCCTTTCAACAGTTACTCTGAAATAAATATCATGTGTCAGCAGTTTTGATACATGAAATAGACAAAAGTAATCACCTCTGTTACACAACTTCGGAATTCATCAATAGTCTTCTCAAACTCTGTGCGATTGAAGGTTCTCATGGCCTGCAAACTTTGAAGTTTTTGGAAGAATTCCTCTTCCCTCTCTCCCCATATTGAAGTGATGTTCTTAGATGTAAAAGAGACTGTTTCTGGACAAGAGAAGAAAGATATCACAAGACTGTTAAACAAGAAAAGTACCACTTTTCAGTTAACATTTAATTTTTACCTCACTTTCCTTTCCTAATGAAAGAAAGTGTAGGTTTACAAGATCACCATTCTATGTGTTTGTCTTCCAGTGTTTCAAATTTTTTAAAAACTTTTACAGAATTCGGTACAAACATTATGCCATTAGAGACCACCACCACCTTATACTTTCTCATTTCATACAGTCAGAAATAACATGGCAGATGCATAAACTTCTTTGGTGGGAATATTTAGTGTCATGTAACATACAGTCTTGAACTGATCTATGATAATAGATCATCAACGAATATGCAACTTCTATTACAGCAAATTCTGGTGGAATGTAAAACAGCATGGTAGCTAAATGAAATTCATACTTTGCTTTCAGTTTGATGGTGATAACTAATAAACCATTAAAATTTGCTATGTATGTGGATCAGTGGTTTTCAACATGTGCCATGTGTGGCACAATGTAACCCTAAACATGGCACATAAATACTTTTCAAATAAACATTTTTTTAAAATATTTGCTACATACTTTTTACATTACTTGGCAATAGTATATCCATAATATAATATACAAATAAAAACTCAATTAAAATATATTACTATATTAAAAGGGAAGTTATAAGAATGTCCTGTAATTCTGAAACTAAGTTTTCATGGTGGTGAGTATGTAGATAGCTGTCTTCTGGGATGTAGTGCCATGTAGTCTGGTAGAAGTTTACCAATATTTCAGAGGTCCTTGCTGCCTCCATCATCATAGTAATCATCATCCTGATTATGGAGGCAGCAAGGACCTCTGAAACGTTGATAAGACTTCTACCAACCTACATGATGCTACATCCCAGAAGACAACCATCTTACTATAATTTGTAAAGCAGATGCCACTATCCAGTTTTTGAAGTTATTGCCTTATGAAAATTATCTTCAGAAAATATGCACAACAATATATCTGATGCTTAGCAAATACTTATCTCTGTGAACAAGCGTTTTCTTCAATGAAGTAAGTCACGGACAAACAGTGGTCTCAACTTATGAATTATAAATTTCAAAATCTGGCAATTCTTGCAACAACAAAATTTTAGCCTTACGACTGGGGTTGAGAGGATACACTTACCACTTCTTTCTATTGGTTCACTTCCAAACATTAAAATTGTTTCCCCTATGAACAGAACTTTGTGTGCCAGAGAAGGAATTATGTAAGATGGAAGCATAGTATACTGGATGCTGTATCTCTGTAGAGGGCCATCTCTATTAGATCTCGATTCCTGAAAGAAAAATGAGATTGGAAACATGTGCTCTTTGCAGTACACTGACATTCCAAAGGGGTTCTTCAAAGGTGGTTACTGCACTAATGTGATCCTAGGTCACTGCACAGTCAGTGGGATCTCTGGTTCAATTGTTGTTAAAAAGTTTCAGGCCCATAAGGATTTCTTCACTCACACTGGAATATAAAGAAAACCTAAAAAAGTAATAACACTTCAGGGTTTGAAAGGATTGCTTTTTGTAGGCTTTTAATACCAATACCAATGTCAAGAGATAATGTTTCACATTACATCCACACAAAACAACATGTAAAATTATAGTTTTTGTACATTTTAAGAGGTATAGTAATCAGATAACTAAAAAATATAGAGTGCTTCTTCCACTCATCAAAACCATTATCCATAAAAATGTCCTAGAAACAGCAGAATAATAGTACAAAATTAAATATAACAGTAACTAGTTCCACAGATTAGAGTAACATTTGAGACGTTAATGACTTTTCAGCTAGAAACATCATTGCCCCTCTTCTATTAAACATAAAGGTACACTATCATGTTTGCAGGAGCCAAGACCTTGATTTTATCCTGAGTCAGCTGAATCCAGTCCACACATTTTAATTCATTGTCAAAATTAATTTTACCATCATCCTCCCATCTACACCAAGGTCTCCATAAAGTTTCATTTTTTCAAGTTTTTCCACTAGTTTTGTATGCATTTACCACCTTCTTTACATGTTACATGTCATACCCATTTCATCCTCTTCATTATGAATCTTTAGAATATACCACTGAATAACACAAAATTACTATAATTCCTGACTTCTCAAAGAAAAATACTGTAGCACCCTCCAGATTATAATGAACATATATATGCTTAGCTGCATACCTCTATATGTTATCTATCTACTCATCCGCATATTATACTGTGTCAGGATCCATATCCCACAATGAGCATCATCTACTGCGATGTCAAGCCATTCCTACAATCACTGTCAAATGACACTCACAACCAAGTATTAGCGGTTTTCAAGAAGCAAATGAAATATAGCCCAAAGACAAAAGTAACAGGAGTAACAACTACCACCATGTAAGTAGAGTAATTGTGACTGTTTACACAGTAAGTAACATGAATACCGAACAGAACACCTCAGCATACCAATGATAACATTTCGTTGATATCCTGGCTGGAGAAACTATCCAGTGTTGTTGATGTGCTTGTCCCTTGGGTGTCTGATGAATGCTGTATAAAGAATTCAGCATATTGGTCAATGAGCTGACCATACAGAAGCCAACTGGACAGCTGCTTGAAGAACACCACATGACAACACTGAATAATGCTGCAAAGAAACAATACCTTAATAAGAATGAAAGAAAACCTCACTGAAACAGTATCAGTTAAGACGAATTTTTCCTTTTATATGGAAATGCCAAGAACTGAATCCAAGTTGGTGATAATAACAGAACTAAGTTCAAAACAAAACAAATGAAATATACAAGTATTATAAATATTAAGTTCTTGAAGGCATTTATTAACATGATAGAAGCATGTCATTCTCCATGGTGTCACCCTCTGGATATAGTACCAGGTCCACTAATAAAACTTAAATTAAAAGAAAATAAAGTATTTGACCATGCAAAATGAGGCTGCAGGCTCCTGTGAAATATGGTAGTATTTTTATATGTTTTTTGTATCAATCCTTGACACAGTCCAATATTCAGAAAACCACATTAGGATCACGGTGAAAATCTCAATTCTTATTAATAATCCTATAATTTTCACACTATTTTGCTTAAATCAATTAGCTAGAATGCAGTGCACCTAATGTACAATTTGGGATAAAAGTCAATATGATATACATTTTCTTTATGATACCAAATTTGTGAGTTCATGCAAAATTCAACTTTAAATTGTCCAAATGGACTGATGAAACTTCTTCTATATTAAATGTAATGAAAATCCAGTTACCAAAGCATATGCTTTGCATTTGTACAGGCAGAGTTAAAAATTAGATACGCATACACTTGGATATTAAAATTAAAAACTAACCATTTGAGAGGCTCTTTCACATTATTTACACTGCATGTCACTTCTCTATGCAGAAAATCCAGTATCTGACAACCATGAATATGCTGTTCAGATATCTGTAACAAAAAAGCATAAATAATACTAAAACAAATTGTATGAATTCATGTTTAACTCCAAACTTGGACATGCTCTGTGTAATCACATACAGTGTTTGTTATGGGATTAAGTACCAACTTTGACAGAGAAAAGAACAAGTCTCAGAGTTAAAGAGCACACTGCCAAGAAGGAAATGAGGTAACTTCATCAAGTCTTTATGGAAAGGATTGTGCCATCTGTACTAGAATGAGAAAGACTAGTGAACTGAAATTCCCTCAAATGGGAAAATTAATCAATCTCTTTAAATGCTGCTAACATCCACACTCATGTGATTAAACTATATTACTAATGAAATATTACAACTACAATACCAACAAAGTCACTGTCACGACTCCTCACGAGCTTTCATTTCACTAACGTAATCTGTGTAACAAAATATATCATCTTCTTCAACTATCAAAAATTAAGTTTTCTTGCGTGTTCCAATGTCAGGATTCATTCTAAAACAAATAATTCTTCAGACAAGTGGTGACTCAAATAGGGCACGGCATGTTGGTCACCACATGGCAAATGTGCAGAATAACACATAAAAGTAAGAACATACAACCATTAGATTTACTTTAGTATACAAGACACAAAATAAAAACAGTATACGAAGACAGAAACCTCATGCATTGGTAGCTTATGCTACCTATGAGAAAAAAAGAAACACTGTTATGCTCTAAACTGACCAGGGTCAACTAAGTTAATGCTACTGACATTATTAATAAATGAGGATGGTCATCTGGGGAAGAAAATGTGTAATACATTCATAGCAGGAAGGCAATTTTATGCTTCTAAAGATATCAAAATAGCTACTTGGAGCACAATAAACTGGTTCTTGCACTGCATCAGATTTGGAACCTTATAGTTAATTTATTCATTCACAGAAGAATGTATAGAAAACTGATGTGTTTTCTATCATAACAAAATAACTATCTCAGTACATTAAACAGAAGCTAACAGAAGGAAATTTAAAAATGACGAACACAAAGTGATCAGGACATGTACATTACCTCTAAGATTTCTATTGGGTTCCTCTATATGAGGGATTTTCAACTGTATGCCCATGAGCACCTTGGTGTCAGAAGGGTTCTGAGGTCCCATAAGAATTTTTGAACAGTGATAAGATGTTTTAAAGTTTAATTTGTTAATTGTCTGACCACATGACACACTCTTGCAATATTTCCTCTTGAACCACTTGGTACAGCAGAAATCACAGTCATAATATAAGCACTTGAATTCATTTTCTTTTGGGGAGGGGACAGATTAATATGGTGTCCACTAGAAATTATAAGTGCCTCCTAGATGCTCATCCTACAAATAAGGTTGGAAATCTCTGCTCTACACAAAGAAGAATTTTTCACCTAATATCACTGGACATGTCAGAAATAAACACTGAAAATCTAAATACAATTTGCATGTTAAATAGCATGTTATTTTGCTTTAAAGAAAGCATCAGAGTGCAGCATTATTGAAAAGTGGCCAGCTGGTACAGACAGGTATGACGCAAATCTCCTTACTTGTTTTATCATAGAATTTATTACTTCAAAGAGTTTAGTATATTCTTCTACTTTGCTGACAATTGTCAATAATGGCAGGTATGGATCTTCAAGCGACTTTTCTTCCAGGTCTGCAATATCTTTACGATATGGTACCAGCACTTCATTCAAACCATTGCAGAATGCCTGGAGATAAACCCCAAATGGCTGTCTTTCAATTTCTCCCTTGACACAATCATCTGGAATAAATGAACAGATTATAATGAGGAACTTGAACATTAATGTAACAGGAATATGTACAGACCAATTTCAACAAGGTTTGGTATATCACATATGTAGACCCTCCCTTGTAATAAATTAAATATCATGACAGTAAGTTCTATGGACACTATTCATTGTTAAAACAAGCTTTCTGGACATTACCCATTGTCTTGATTTTTTGTTAAAAAGCAACATTTTTGGGGACTGGAACCTGTCTCTATCCTCATTGTTTTAACAATACACCACTATCACAAACCTTCAGATTTAGTTTACTGCTCATTGTGTTATATTATATAACATTTCAGCTTCAGGAAAAAGACAGGTATACCTCCTCAACGAGAAAACAAAGTGAGGTTAGAAATGAAAGGAACATATATCTGGACTATGCTGCTGATATTAGGGGATTAAAAAAACAAAAGACATAAAAACACATATGCTCCATTAGACATTAGCAAGGAGGTTGGTCTAGAAGTAAATGCAGAGAAAACTCGGTATATGACCATGTCTCATGGTCAGAATGTATGACAAAACCATAACATAAAAGTAGCTGATAAATCCTTCAAGAAAGTGGCAAAGTTAAAATATTTGGAAACAATGGTAACAAATCAAAATTGCATTCACAAGGAAATAAGCAGAAGATTAAATATGGGGACTGCTTGCTTCCATAAAGTTCAGAATCTTCGGTCTTCTGATCTGCTACCTAATAATGTAAGGATTAAAGCATACAATATTAAAATATAATTTTACATGTACTTACATAAGTACAGAACATTGTCTCTTACATTAAGGAAAAACATAGATTAAGGAAGTTATAGAACAAGGTGTTTTTGAGAATACTTGGACATAAAGAGGTTTATAACAAATAAAAATTATATTCAAGATGAAATTAGGAAAATAATACATCTGTAAAATCATTGTTATTATTCAGTTCCAAAACTGTTAACCTACTACAAGTGTTTGAAAATAAAGTTTCAGAAAAATATATGGGCCTAAGAGGAATGAAATGGATAATTTAGGATATTACATAATGTGACACTCCATTTACACAGATCTAGGATTTGTATGGTAGTATAACCAAGGAAATTAACTTGGATGGGGCATACACATGAAATGCATACATGATTTTGGCAGATCTAATAGTATGAAAAGACAGTTTTTGCTTTAGCAGCCACATGGAAGATGAAGAAAGAGATGTAAGGATATTAGGATGAATCATACAGAAATAAACTTTGCAGATGGAGCTGACTCAGTAATATGTCCAATGGCAAATTCTGATATCAGTGACATGAACCTTTTGGTTCTATTGCTGTAAAGTTCACTGCATAGTCTTCTGGATATTGCATGTGTCAAAATTATACAAATTACTGACTTCTGGAGAAACTTGTTGCCTCCTCTTTTTACACTGGTGCCAGGAGGCAGCAACCTCCAAACATCAGTAATTAATACCACCATGAAATGTGCAACACCCAGTAGAGTGAATACATACTGCTATGATAATTTGAATCATATATCAGAAAGTTAATTTATGATGTATGTAACTTACCAGCAACAGTTCTATGTACTCCAATCACAGAAATATTATCATCTATGAAAGTTTTGATTGAAGCAAATCCTGAAGCAATATTCAGAACTCTTTTTAGTAACATATTTTCATTTGGATCCAAAAATGAATCATTTTCCATTACCTGTAAAGAGCACATCCATATTTATCTCAAGAAAACAAAACATTTCAATCATATAGACTGAATACACAGTTTTACAGCTTACACATTTGCTGCAGGACCAATGATGACAATTGGGACTGAGAAAATATTGGCTCTGTTTATTATCACACATAAAAATGTGCTCTTTGACTCATGAAAATAGCACAAGAATAATTGTGCATATAACACATTTAAAAATAAAAGTAAATCATGAAATTTTCGTTGGTTCAACAATGGAAAAATACTTATTATGTAATGTAACACATGGCATGCCAACATTCAGTCTTTCATACATATGAGTACAACACTTACTTAATCCAACATAATGCTGACTGGAAACTGCAAGAAGCAAAAGAAACTAACCCAAAAAACTTATCTTCTGCAATAACAGATGAATTTCATTAGCATTACAATGTGTAAAACTTGTCTGATATATAAGGGAAGACTGGAATGGCCATTGTTATAAGCCATACATAATACACATGGGAAAGCAGTATATGGATAAGTAATTGCTTCCACAAATCTGTGTATTTAATTATCATTCCTTATAGGAAAATATTAATTATTAAGTTCATGCTACTCAAGTCTAATTTCATTTAATCTAACTGTATTTAAAACTAACTCCATTACAAACTTTGTAAACAGCACCACTGCACATGCATCTTTATATGATGTGAATTCCATTTAGAGCAGCTACTTCCTCATCTGTCTCTTTTTTCAGTGTTGCAACTTGAAAGGAATATAACTGCAGTGCCTCACAGTAGACATATTTCAGTATCATTACTATTTTTTACTGGCTGGAAGAATGAACTACAGTTATGCATGATGAAGGATGACAATGAGATATCAATAAACTGTGTGACAGAGAAAGTGAATTTTGTTCATCTCCTTCTGGATATACAGGTTCTTGGTAAGATGAACATGTGCTTGGCTTGTAAAATGTCATGAATTTATTTACAGTTATATAATGAAGCTTTTTCAGTAGCTCAGACTACACAAAATCAAATAAGATGATAGTGGATTGGAAAGGATGTGGAAGGAAGCAATCATAGCATAACATAAAGTACTATCCTGATACTTGAATGGAGGGGCTGAGAAAAAATACAAAAATCCCCAGTCAGCATAGCCAGTCTCCAGGCCAAGATCTGAACCTGGGACCTTCCAAACACAAAGCAAGAGTGTTAACCACTCAACCATGATGTTTGGTGAAATGACATAAAGTTTGTGGTAGTTTCTGATGGTGACAGATTTTATTGGAGTTATCATATATGAATGGAGGATGGTCAAACAGCATCTGCCTGAATATGAAGAACAAAATACAGTTTGAGACACCAAAAGAGACCCATGGGGAAGCTGACCTGTTGACATACTTTTCAGCTTTCAAGGTTCTTAGTCAGATGGTGCAATGTAATTACATTTGAGTTCAGATATAGTTGCTGGGTACATCAACTTATGGCAGCAGGTATGTATTTAAATCTGTCACATCTAAATGAGATAAGCAGTCAAGGCATACTTTGGAACTAAATTAATTAAAGTTAGGGAATATTTCATTCGAGAGGAATTAATTTTAAATGACGAAATGAATAAACTGACTGGTTTTTCTGTAGGTCTCTGACTTTCACAAATGACATAATGCTGTTGAATTACATCTTCTAAGTTACATTTATTTTAGTTTGTATAAAAGTGCATGATATGAGAACATGTGTTCAGTAAGGTCTTCAAGATATATGTGTTTTAGAGTCTAAAACACATAACAATTTAGACCATATATAAATTTAACATGTCAGCATTTATGTTACATTGGCTGTACTTTGGTTCATGTACAATTTCATGATGACTTTATTTCATAAATTCATTTTTAAAGTGTGTATATGGTTTTTGATTTTCTGGTTACTTTCATAATGTGGGTGTCAGTGTGCTGGTACATATTTGTTGCAATGTATCTTCAAGCGTGGTGCTTGGGTAGAGCAAGGAAAGTGGGAAGGGGTAGTTAGGAAGGCAGAAGGTAGTGATGAGGAAGAGGAGAAAAGGAAAAGTGACATACTTTTCCTGAAATTTTCCTTAAATACCTGAGTTATGAAACTGTCAGAGTAACCAGACAATGCCAGGAGTACTTCATGCAGCATTTTGTAGAAGTCTGAAACAAAATACAAAAATCTAAACACACATAGTACTTTTACAATTTGTTTATATTTGTTTTAGTTTTAGCAGTGGAGTAAAAATGTGTTTGCTCATGTATATAAAATACAATGTTATTTAGTAAACCCACTTCTAAAAGAATTCAAAAGGATCTTAACACTTTCCATTTTCCATATAACACAAGGCACTTACTTCTAGATCAAAAACATTTTGCACTAAACATTCCACGATCGAAACAAGTCAGAAATTCATGCTACGTACTACACAGTTACTTATTCCAGCAGAGGATCAAAGTATTCTCCACCCGTTACATCAACAGTTAGGAGTAATTCTTTCAAGTTTCTGTCAGCAAAATATTTTAAGTTAAATTCTTGTTTTAACTTTCCATCTCAGAGTTAACATATTCATTTACTATATGTAATATAACATTATTTTTACTCTAAACTGTCAGTAATACAGAAATGTTTGGATACAGAATAGTTTCCATAACACACATTCTGATAAAATTTTCTTGCGTGACCAACCATGCCAATTTGAAACAGAAGTCCAACATTTGCTCAGAGCTGCTGTACTTGGAACTCAAGGTCTATCCACCCAAAGTACAGCAACTATAAGCAAATGTTTTGAGATGAGTTTCACCTGACTCTACCTCCTTTCCCCCACTGGCCACACATGATGGGGCACTGATTATAGACAATCATCTGTGCTTACCCATCACACCATTCCCTGATGATGGAAACACACAGAGTCTCTGAAATGTTAAACTTCTATTCCAGATCAACATGGTTGGTCACCCAAGAGGACTTTACCACTCTTAGTTCTCATGAAAGTATCAAGTCAAATACATATTCTGTTTTTTGGCACATTTTGTTCTGCATTTTTGTAATATATGAATTTCATGACAGGTTAGGTAGAGTTAGGATTCTGCAAGAGACAAATATGGTAGTCAATAATCATGTGGATGTGCAATGAATGGTTTTCTTTTATGTCACCCCTCCTTCTCTGTAGAATTTACTTCAATTGAAAACAATTAAATGCTATAAATATTTGTGTTAGTAGCTGTTAACAACTATATAGTTATATATGTGTTGGTATTTTATTGATATGAAGTACTGGTATTCATACTATGACATGTCACACATCCTTGGTTTGAATTATGAAGGATCTATGCAATGTAAATAAATGATAATCTATTTTATTCAAATGAATGGTCAGCATACTGTAAAGTTATTCCTAAAACAACAAGGCAAGCATTAAGCTACAGTCATGTGCTAGCTTTTAAACTGGCAGTTGTGCTGGTGGATTACAAACTCCAAAAACATATGCAAGAAGACTCTCTTGTTGTGACAAACTATATTTTTTTAAGCACATTGACTCAATGGCATGAATTAACTGTTCACAAGCAAATGACAGACATCTTTCCTCTACTGAAGTAATAGAACCAATTATATTATAAGGATTCAGAACATTAGTTGTGACAGACATCACAGACACAACAACTTCACTGTGAAGTGATCAAGAATGTCTTATGATGGTAGTGTAGGATATTGGGTATTGGTAACTGATTCCACAACTTCTCATCTCTCTGTAACACTGAACATGGTTTTCATTGTATGATAGAATAGTACAGAGTCTCAATATCCAATCTGTTCTGAGTACAATTTCCTGGCATGCAACTAATGTGTCAATAGTTAACTACCTATATAAATTACATATTGTGTCTGAAATCTTTTGCTTATACTTCCTGAAAATGATTTTTATGTTGCGCACCTTCACACCATCTGATAAGTATAAACCGAACATAAAACGAATCGTCACGTCAATTTCTGCCTTTCATACACAAAATATTTAAAATTCATATTTCGGCACAGTGTTCTCAGCAGTATACACCACAGATAACACAGATAAACACGCATTATTCATTAAATCCACAGATAGTACAGACACAACCATACTATCGATCAGAACCACCAATGGCAACAAACAGAAGTTCCTTAACGTTTTTGCAAAAGTAATTGAGACACTGTGGTTTGACAGTAGGACAAGGTAATTTCTTTGTATATAATGGTAGTACCCTTTCCTCTGACACATTAGAAGTAAACCATGCATATGTGGCATGCTTTTCCTAACATTGGCTACACAAACTGTTTCTTTCTTTGTTTTCGAAATGTTACCGACAAGCATATGATGGCAGTGTGCGACAATAATATTTATATTAACACGAACAGCATACCCATACATAACTAAACCTAGCCTAAGCAAAACAAGTCGTCACGGATCATATCCATCAGTGCGCGTTTAACAACTGCATAATATATGTATGAAATCCGGTGACTTTGTCCAACTCGTAATTCTAATTCTGCACTTCGTATTACAACAGTAAAGGAACGTACAAATCGTGAAGTGGAGTGATGATATCGTCAGTACCCCTATCCCTCTGCGCATGCACGCCATCAAACCAACTTAACCTCTTCCAACCAAACATAACATTACGACATATCCATCCGTACGAATATAATAACTACAGAATGGCTGGACAAAAATGGATGAAATTTGGTGTTAATATTGTGACATGGGTCAGTACTGGAAACTAACTCTTCGCAACTTCTTACACGCTGAAATACTACCATAACAAATGCTCAGACTAGAGGTATGCCATTGCTGCCACCATCGGCCATGGTCCTATGCAAATGCGCGTCATTCGCCTTCCCTAACTAGATCCACGCTTTCCTCTTCACATCTTTCATCCGACTGTTAGAGAGTTGCTGGGCGAAAATTAATGAAACTGGTTGTCGATGTTATGCCACAGGTTGCTGTTCGAAATTGACACTTTATGACTTCTTACACTTTGTTGCCCCTTCCTGACATACACAAACTCTCGTGGTGTGATGATGACGACTTTAACCATTTTCCTCTGTGCATGGGCATCACTAATATAACCTGACCTAACCCACACAATCTGGACTTTTCGCAGCTCATGCCCATCTGCACGACCTGAAGAAGTAGATAATGCTTGAAAGTAAATTCATTAAATTTTATATGGACGTTATGCCATAATTCACTCCTCGAAACACATACTTTGGAATTTACACTCTGTAACATTATCGTGGCAGATGTTTGAACATGGTTATGTTGGCTGAAGAAACTGTTAGTTCTTAGTACATACACCATTAGATGGCAGTATATCACAACACTGACAACATCAGTCACTATTGTTCTATGGTGTACTTTCTAACTGCAACATATGTGAGATCAGGGATCTGAACCATGGATCTATCAATGTTTTCCCTATTTAATGATCAAATGGTATAATCATTAATGAATAATGACTTGAGGAGGGGAAATTGGCCATGGCCTAATTTAAGATACTATCCCAGAACTTACCTGAAGAGACTGAGGAAAACCACAAGAAACCTCAGTCAGGATAGCTGGTCTTTGGGATGGGATTTGAAGCTGGACTTCCCAAATATGAAGCAGGAGTACTAACCAACTGGCTACAACATCCATTGGCCCTCTTAATTTTATATAAAATTCACTGATTTGAATTTTGAAGATAGTTCTGTCTGAGGTTCATGAAGTTGCAAAAAGGATAAAATCAGGAATTATCTGAGACTGAGGTTCTCATGGCAGTAAAGATGCTGAATATCGCCTTTGTGGGCAGTGACACTGTGTGGCCTTGTAGTTCATTGGCATAATGTTTTGGAGGATCATTGGTAAACAGCTATAAGACTACATGATGCTATAACTTAGAAGACCACAATTGACAAAATGAGGAATTACTTTTGGTTTATTTAGAAATTTTTATAATGTCATCTACTTTCATAAATGCCATTTTTGTATGACTGTGAAACATGGTCTCTTTTTTTAAGAAAAATAAACATAAATAGAAGGTGTGGACGTGTGTCTATTCCTTACAAACATCAGTATCACAGACACTAAATGACCTACTTCTATGCAACATCATGTGAAATCTATGCAACCTGATACCTCCCATTTATCTTTTTTTTTTCTATGACCAGTATTACCATATGGCTGTCATGCAAACTCTTGAGGAGGGATCTGTATGTAGAGTCTGAATTTTCAGGTCTCTGAAAAATAAAAGTTTGTTACAGTATTCTTTTATCAAACATGGAACTCCACATGATGCATGAAATATTTTCAACTGATAATTCACTTTAACTGTATCTGGTAATTTATTACAAAGTCACCTATCAGTGTGTTTGGAAACTGCACCACCTGTTACTTCAGAACCCTATATATTTTTAATATTTGTTTTGTAGGATATTAATTTCTGCCACAAAATGTTCCATAAAATTGAGATGAAGAGAAACAAAAAACTACATACTTTAATATCTTACAATAATAACACTCCAATATACTTTATTTACATTTTCAATTACTTATGTTTCACATCATTATTAAGCTTTTTAATTATTAGTGAAGATTATGTGTTTTTAAGACACAAAATTTGTTTCAACAGCTGAAGCACCTATGAAGAACCATCCATCTTCTACTATTACTACTACTATTGAGTGTACAGGTTACAGCTTAATAGACTCATAATAATATCTTGGTGATGACTCCACTGCTATGTAGAAAAGTCTGTGCACTGTACAGCACTCAGACCCCAGATAAAATGGACACTCCTTACTACTTAAATAAGCCTGAAATATTATCTCACTTTACAATTGTGTGGTTTTATTTTCTATGTGGCTAACACAAATCGACTTTACACAGATGGGTACATATAAATACATATTTTTATACAGCAAAGTTATAGATGATAGTAATTAAACCTACTCACAACAGATCTGCATACACAAACACTGATGAAGCTGATTAATGTCATGCGGTAAGAAAGATATGCATATTGGAAACAAGATATAATTTTGGCATCTATCATATGACAAAAACTTATAAATTAACAGTTATCACATTCTGGCAATTGTTCATTTACACTCTTAATCTATTGTCTCACGTCCTTAACACAAAAGACGACGACTACCAGACTTTTAAGTACAGTCATAGTTTATAACACTTATCACTCCAATATCCCACCAACATCATTGCAATTGGCACTGTAACCTTACTTACAAGATCATAATTCTGAACAGTTTCTTGGTAGTCGCACAACTTTACGTGTTCTATGTGACATCTTGTCAGCACAGCAGCTCAGTAGCTTGCGTAAACTGAAATCACAATGGATTCTGTCAAGTCCACTAGTGGATAGCACTGAGTAGTAGCAAGTATAGAATTCAATTCCACTCAGTCGTCCTCCTTCTCAGCTCTTATTTCAAAAAGGAATATAACGTATCCCACATCACTGCCATCATACTTCCAACCTCACATAACCCTGCTAATAAGATTAAAAATTATTCTTAAGTTTCACAGCTTTTTCAGCAATACTGTATTAACTACGAAGTTTATTTTACATTTAATGAAATGTGAGGATGATCAGGCATGATGAATTGGCACAACTCTAAGAGGAAGTGGTCACAGCCTATTTAGTCAAGCCAGTTGCTGCACAGGCTGATATTTAAACTGGTTACTTCACAAGTCATATTCAGGCAACTTAACATTAAGCCAACCTTCCTTTTGTTATTTTTACAAGGGAGTTCAAACTAAAAATCAGTATAAATCACATTAACATAGTACATTAAGAAGACGGCTGTTTTTTGTGTTGTAGCGCTGTGTAATCTGATACATTTTATTGAGTTCCAGCAATAAAAACCTAAGGACAGATGTTCAGAATGTTATTTTTTCTGGTTTTATTTTCAATTTATTTGCAAATGTAACTGAAGAACTGAAAGGTTTGAAGAAAAACAGGGAAAAATGAACAATTTATGAAACCTCTGTATATAAATGCTACAGAATTTCCACATTCACAAAATTTCTGGGGTGTGTCAACCAAATGGTAACAACAATACTGCATTCTTGGCAGTACAGCCTTTTTACACCAGACTGTCACTTGTTTGTTTTCAAAACAGGCCTCACGGTTTCATTGCCCTGCCATCCAGCTGTTCAGAAAGTAAGAATACTGGCACAACAGATATGTGTCGTGACTGTGGCACGTTCATGATATGTGCTTCATCGAGTAACACAAAAACAACTTGTAATTTTCCTGTGAATACTGAGAATTGTCATCCAACTCAGGGATGTAATACTTTGATGGTATGCAATTATGTCAAATGTTGCACTAATTAAGATGAGATTCTTTTGAAGTTACATTACTCTTCTTGACACGCCGTTGAACTCTAACCTCCGCTCGAGCAACTCATTTGTTTTGATGACAAATGAAGATTTTGGTTTCCATTATTTGTGCCCTGCAATTGGATCAGGAGTGGATGTCTACACATCAGAAAAACATATAGTTGGTATACTACAAGATACACGAAGATTTTGGTTTTAATATTCTGAAATCGATATTATCAAAATTCCATGCATGCAGATGGCTAAAACATGGCATTTGTGGTTCAAAAAACAGAAGTGGAGGTGTTAAGTGACTTTAAAGCCTTCTGAAAGTAAATAAATGTTCTCACCTTACAGTTGTTTTAAAAAATATCTGACTCATGTTCTTAGAACCACAATTTAAAAATTCTCAAAATTAATCTTTCCAAATTGCTTGAAGTCACTTCTCAGTTCTCTTTTTAGGTGTGTTCACAATTAAAGTTGCAAGAAAATGCACCAGTCAGCTTTGTCATATCTGTGTGTCCACAAAAACAACAGAACTACTGAATGGATTTTCATTAAGTTTTACAAACTGAGAAGTTTCACTCCCACGTTAGGTGGGTCCCTCAGATGGAGGGACAGGCTCCAGTAATGGAGGTTAGCCGCGAATATATTGAATAAGCGGTCCCGGATGCCGATGAGGAGTGGTCCTCCAGCTCGGCGAAAAATGTTCTATGTTACAAAAACAATGGCAAAGCCTCGGAATAATTGTCGGTGTTGAACCTGTGGTTTCTGCTATCAGGGAGTTAGTTAGTTAGATGTTTTGCTATAATTTGTCAACACATCCCAATTTGGGTTAAAATCAGATTACAATAAAGGATGCTTTACAGTAAAACCCACACACATTTCTGTACACAAAAGTGATTAGATGGGGAATCCCAGCCAGGGAAGTCATATGTGGGGAACCCCCTGCCAACATCACAAATATGTGGAGGAATCCTCCATGATCACATCATCAATTTAGCAGACACAAAAGTTATGTTGTCAGTCCTTCTAGCGGTGGTACTAATGAGAAGTTTAATATTAGGGCTGTACTCAAGCCAGGTGATACCCTGATGTTTTCTTGAGTCCACTTCTTTTAAAACAGTGATGTAAAATATACACAACATGCCCTAAAAGCAAAGGATGTGAATCTGGCATCCCCTAAGGTATAAGATATGAAATACACTAATCAGAAATTAAAAAAAAAGGCCTAGATGTCAGACAGAACTTATTAACTCGTTTCATTTCTGATAGAAGCTTCAGCCTGAAGATGGTCGTTTAGTCCTGTAGAAGTTTACCGACGACCCAGAAGATGGGAGTGGATGTCTACACATCAGAAAAACATATAGTTGGTATACTACAAGATACACGAAGATTTTGGTTTTAATATTCTGAAATCGATATTATCAAAATTCCATGCATGCAGATGGCTAAAACATGGCATTTGTGGTTCAAAAAACAGAAGTGGAGGTGTTAAGTGACTTTAAAGCCTTCTGAAAGTAAATAAATGTTCTCACCTTACAGTTGTTTTAAAAAATATCTGACTCATGTTCTTAGAACCACAATTTAAAAATTCTCAAAATTAATCTTTCCAAATTGCTTGAAGTCACTTCTCAGTTCTCTTTTTAGGTGTGTTCACAATTAAAGTTGCAAGAAAATGCACCAGTCAGCTTTGTCATATCTGTGTGTCCACAAAAACAACAGAACTACTGAATGGATTTTCATTAAGTTTTACAAACTGAGAAGTTTCACTCCCACGTTAGGTGGGTCCCTCAGATGGAGGGACAGGCTCCAGTAATGGAGGTTAGCCGCGAATATATTGAATAAGCGGTCCCGGATGCCGATGAGGAGTGGTCCTCCAGCTCGGCGAAAAATGTTCTATGTTACAAAAACAATGGCAAAGCCTCGGAATAATTGTCGGTGTTGAACCTGTGGTTTCTGCTATCAGGGAGTTAGTTAGTTAGATGTTTTGCTATAATTTGTCAACACATCCCAATTTGGGTTAAAATCAGATTACAATAAAGGATGCTTTACAGTAAAACCCACACACATTTCTGTACACAAAAGTGATTAGATGGGGAATCCCAGCCAGGGAAGTCATATGTGGGGAACCCCCTGCCAACATCACAAATATGTGGAGGAATCCTCCATGATCACATCATCAATTTAGCAGACACAAAAGTTATGTTGTCAGTCCTTCTAGCGGTGGTACTAATGAGAAGTTTAATATTAGGGCTGTACTCAAGCCAGGTGATACCCTGATGTTTTCTTGAGTCCACTTCTTTTAAAACAGTGATGTAAAATATACACAACATGCCCTAAAAGCAAAGGATGTGAATCTGGCATCCCCTAAGGTATAAGATATGAAATACACTAATCAGAAATTAAAAAAAAAGGCCTAGATGTCAGACAGAACTTATTAACTCGTTTCATTTCTGATAGAAGCTTCAGCCTGAAGATGGTCGTTTAGTCCTGTAGAAGTTTACCGACGACCCAGAAGATGGCCATCTTCAAACTCACCGCTGTGATAATCTCATATCCTACAAGTGTCAGCCTCTTTCTTACTAACCACAAGAATGGCTTCATATTATGATGATTCGGTCCACTTCTTTCAAACTGAAACTGCATTCCTATTTGCCTTGGCACTTAATTTTTCGACTATACCTATAGCAGCTACCATTACCTGAAACAAAACTGAAAGGCAAACAAAATTTTCTATAAAAGTTTTCTCCATCATAACCTGAGATGACATAACATCCTTTAAATTCATAAAAATAAATGTAAAATACGTTACTGGTTAGGATTGAGCAAGTGTCCTTGTTGCCTGCACATTTAGTGTTCAAGGAAGGAGTTCGTTTTAAAATTAAGATTACTTTCACCTATTTAAAAAGCCAAGCTCAGTCAGTATAGTGACTGTCTACGAACTGGACGATCGGAGTTCGATCTCCGACGGGGGCAGAGGATTTTTCCTCTGGCCTCTGCACCCAGACCAGTTCTGCGGCCCACCCAGCCTCCTCTACAATGGGTACAGGGCTCCTTTCCCGGGGGTAAAGCCGGCCGGGGCGTGACGCTGACCACTCACCCAATCTAGTGCCGAGGTCAAGAATGAGTAGGAGCTGTAATACCTCACCCTCAAGCGCCTACATGGCGTACAGTGGGACATCTTTTACTTCTTACTTTTAGTCACTGAACCAAGCCTTTTCTAAATTCCCATATCCCCTCCAAATATCCTGTAAAAATGCCACAGTAATGCAAGGAATTAAATACTGAACTCGGTTCGTCTGCTGTTCTCTTTTGTTCTGATAATGTAGTGCCGGCCGCTTGTAGATACTTCGACACGACAGCTGGCCAGTTTAAAAGTATCGCGGCATTCTACAGCTATTTAACGGAGAAGCATGCAATCAAATGACTGAATGTGTAAAGACATTCGTCAATGACGATCCTAACGTTACAAAACTAGGCCTGCCTGCGCCCTGCAAGAACGTATTCATTTTTTATTTGTTCTAATGTAAGTTGCTCTGGTTATTGCCTGAGCTAAAGTTTTACTTGTAGAATAATCCATGATTGGATTCTTCTTTCTCTTTCGATTCTGAATGCCTTGTTGGGCCGTCCGAGGCAGGATGTTTGAACCAACATTTGCATAACGTCCTATCATTCTTCCGGTCGTCTTTTAGGGTCCCTGGAGCTGGATAAATGACTCGAATTCTGCAACCAATTGTATAGACACCCACTCCTCCTTAGTCACTTTGTAGGTGCTCCGAGGCGGATTGTGCAGACAGACATTCGATCTTCTTTTAGTTGCAGATGTGTTCCTCCTTCTTGTAGCGGCACGTGTCGCACTTGACGTCACAGCACCACACGAACCTACAATGGCACTTCTCTTCCACGTCGCGCACCCTTGTCTGGTAGCCTCGCCCGCAACACAGCAGGCGGCAGCCGTCTGGCCCCATACTCGTGCGATTACACAGCCGGCCCCGCGTCCCGAGAACCCCCATCCTGAAAGAGACAAAAGTTTGCCTTACTCATCGCCCTGCTGCTGG